ACTGGTACTGTAATGATACAAATGTCATGTGGCAAAACCAGCAGACATTTTTCCAATGGCCTTGGTTGCATTCAGCCCTATGAACTATGATAGTGTAATTGACTTCAACCATCAGTGCCACAATCTGTGCTCTCCACCTGTGTCTTGTGGAAGGATCACTGGGGTTGACCCCAAAAGGGACATGGGCACCTAGAGCTGCTTGTGCTGTTCACAAGGCTCGTTTGTGCCATTCAAGGTGCTGAGGGGCAGAGCAAGGATAACATGCAAACATTCTCTCTAGCAGAAACACCTGTGCTCCAGCATACAGTGCTGTGCTTCTGTGCAAAGTGAAATCTGTGACAGCTTACCTTGAGCCATTAACTGTGGCATTTTAGGAGTAAGAATCCCTGTGGTGGGCCCTGGAACTTTCGTCAATGGAGTCAAGGCGGGCAGATGGAGATAGTAATTGCTTTAGCTATTGCTGCTAAATCTGCTGCTCAACATGTCTCACCCCTAGACAATCATTTTACAAGATCTGTAATTCAGCATTTGGAAGCAGCAAGTTTCCAAAGGCCGTAGCAGCCAGCTCACTGAATGGGAGAAGGATGAAGTGAAAAGCATTTCAAGTCACATTTCTTACTTGGAATACGGATTGTTCCTCATAGTCCTAAATTTCACACCGCCTGAGACCATCAGTAGGCATGCATTTAAACTAATGACTGTTTTGTTCTCTCCTGTGGATCTAAGTTGCAGTCCTTTAATCCTCACTCTAGCAAATAAAACTGGGTTCAAAAAAGCAGCGGCTGCAGACTCTGGCACACAGTTTTAGTGCCTCAGCCATTACCGTCACCTGGTTTAAATACAAGCATAGAAATTTGGAGTGAATTAAATAAATGGTAGCTAAGAAAGGCCCTACATGAACAAAGAAGAACTGCAGAAGCGTATTGTGGACACCTGGAGAAGCCTGTCTCCTATTTGCAAGAAATATATAAACGGTGCTTCAGGGAGACAACTCTGCAATAAAAACTATGGCAAACAAACAGAATATTGCACTGAATAGTTCAAGAGGAATCCTTTCATGCTTTTTTCTTTGAGGCATGTGCATTTCAAGAATTTTGGCTGATTAAAACAGTTCTATTACATATTTACTTTGCTAATCAGATCATACCAGTGAAGAAAGGTTTTCCAGTCCTAGGAAAAATGCAGACTGAATAGATGAGGTGGGATTCAGTTCTGTGCACTGGAAGTGTCAAAATTCCCATTAATGCAGAGAAATGTAAGGAAAAACAGGTCAGATTTGTTTCTACTACTTACAACTACTGAAGGAAAAAATTAAAAATAAGAAATACCTTGTTAAAGTCAGCATGCCTCGTCTCAAGTATTAAAGGTAGATAGCTACAATTGTATGAGTCATTCCTCTAATGAAATGAGTAAAGATGTGCAGTATTACTACTGTAATAACTTCCCCAGTTTATTCACTATCCTGCACATTCCATCACACACCTGAGAGATACAAGCCATGTACCTTGGGCTGAGGAGAGTATTCTGCCACATGTCCAAACAGGTGGATTTGAGAGAAATGCTGAAGAAAAGTGGGACTGGAGGTATGGTAATATGAGGTATGGATGCTCCTATTGACTAGGAAACAAGAGGTGAGACCTGGAAGCAGGTCAAGAGACCCAGAAGCAGGTCAAAAAGAGAACAGTTATGAAAAGCAATGGAAATATTTCATTGCGATTGTCTCAGAATACTCTAAGAGCTATGATTTTATCTGAAACATGACTTCCCCAAAGCCTGCTTAATATGCCAGGGAGGAGAGCTTTCAAAGTCCAACTCACCACACAGAATGCTATCACAGTGTTGATCCAACTATTTTAAACCTGGTAGTACACAAAGCTATAAATAGTTATAATTTAAAGATGAAGACTGAAGATACAATTAACTGTTAATTCATTCTAAATTGCATTTACCACATCATTACGTAAAACATTCATCAATATGGCATTTATTTGTGAAATAATCTTTCAAACAAATTGCGTACTTCAATTTGTGCTTCTAATCAGCCAGATACACAGTGTAATGTGAAGAGGGCAACTGGAACTTCTATGTACTATATCATCAACATAGATTAGTCATAATTAAATACTTAATCCATTTTATTGCTGCACGGTTTTATCACTGCATGGTACTGCTATTGTTATTCTTTCAAAAGCTAAAGAATGAGGAAATGTATATAGGAAAGCTTCCTTAGATTTCTCTAGGGACAAATTATTATAATATTTGTTCTTGCTCAAAAAGTCAAAGGATTTGCACTTTGCTTTACCCATTTGTTTAAAGGAAGGTTGTTTGCCATCTAAATATAAACTTAACTTCAGCAGTTACATTCTCTATTAATTGACTCATACTCAAGTCCCTTTATGTGATAAACATGCACAGCTAATAATCAATAATATGGCAAGAGTGTGTACAGAACAAATAAAAGAAACAGATATTCTTTGTCTGTGCTCGCGTATGCCAAGCAGAATACAAAGAAGAGCAAATGCTGAAATCCTTAAAGGTCATTTACATTAATTTTTTTACACACTCTGATTACACAAAAAATAACCTTCCCTCTTGTTGCTCACATGCGCTTGCCACCGTACCTATCCAGTTCAGTATATATACTTATTAAAAACATTTGTTCTCAATTCTGGAATTCACTTTCACAAAGCTTAGGATTTATGGAAATGGAAATGGTCCCTTTTTTATTTAATTAACTGAATGTGTGTTTGGGGAAGGAGTCCTACACAAACCCTTTCTCATTCTTTCTGTTTTCCTCCCACATACTGCTCAGGGGAGCTCTAAGGAGAGGCAGTGCCTCTCGGCCTGCACTGGCACAGATCTTTCAGGCTGGGCAGGCCACTATACCACCCAGCATCTGTTTGCTCCTGCCCAAAACATCACATTCCTCCCAGAGTGAGAGAAAGCTTCTTCTTCCATGAGTAAATGAACCCCCTGCAGGACTTTGCCCAAGTGAAGGATACCATGCCAGGGGACAGACAGCTGCCCATTCAGCAAACTCAGGAATGTGTCCAATGTTGCCCAAAGTTGGTGGCCCTTTTGGTATGTTCACCCAAGTTCACTGTACACTGGCACTTCCTATTTTCAAAGGAACCATGGTGAGAGGCATCCCATCTTTCAGATGCTATCCTGCAATCCCGCATGCAACTCTGCCATTTCCAAACTCTCTCTCCAGTTCCCATAGTTAAGGGGCAATATGCAGAGGTTCACCATTTTTTTCTTCTGCCTGTTCAGTTGACCACGAGGGTCTGTGCCAAAAGCTGTTACCCACGCACCTTTCAGCTAGTTCTTGGCCACTGGAATGAGCCACTATCATCCTTAAGAAACTTTAGGAGCCAGAGAATTTATATTAAATGCCTTAATCACATGCAGACTTTGAACACTATAGCACTAGTGCCCAGCCTTGCAAAGCAGAAACCCAATGAAGAGGCAATCAGAGTAGATAAGACCTCGAACAATCTGCACTACCAAAATCAGGGTTCCATGCAGTCAGGGTGCCCCTGTAGTCCCTGATGGTTGCAACCATGGATCGTGATGGACTCCAGTTCTGCCTTCTGCCCATATTCAAGTCGATGAGAAGCAGCCTTTCTCCAAAGCCGCTCAGAGGGGAAGCTCGGGAGAGCACACAGCCCTCCCACACATCACTCTGGCTAAAAACAGCTCTAAATATAACCTTGTTTCTAAAATCCGCGTACACGCACAAAAATACAAAGACCAGCAAAAGGACAGGAAGTCGGTCGGGGTGGAGGAGCCGCGCTATTTCGGTTCAGCCATCTACCCCGCAGCGCGCCTCGAGCTCGACCCGGAGGTGGGGAGGAAAGCCCAGCCCTGTGCCCGCAGCCGCTCCGGGCAGGCAGAGGAGTGCGGGCTTCTGCAAGGGGAGAGCAGCAGACTTGGCCCCCAGCAGTCGGAAACCTCTTGAGGTGTGAGGAACAAGGGGTTTATATTCACTCTGTTGCTACTAAAGGGAAGTGAAATGACCGCTGAATTCAGGTGGTCATGGAAAAGCACGTAGAATTGCTGGCAGAAAGTCAAACTAGTACGTCAGCTGCCTTTAGGTTCCTAGTATTACCGTGCACTGACCTCTTGCCCTGCAGCTCCTCGTGCAGGTGCTCAGACTTAGCATAAGCAGCCTCTGCATTTCGGTTGAGCGGCCACCAAACCTATCGCCACCTGTGCTGCGCGGACCCGAGAAAGGAGACATCACTGAGCTGCCTCTGCCGCAGCTCTGGGAAGGTCCGGCCGCTCGCCCCTGCATCCCAGAGCGGTTGCGGCCAGGGGAGATGCTTCAGAGATAAGAGATCACCCCGCCCTGCGTGCCTCGATGCAAGCAGCACAGCCGGAGACCTACCCGGCGAGCCCCAAATACTAGGGGATACGTTGAGACAGGCAGTATCTAAGCAGTCCCTCTGTTATTTTTTTCCTCTTTATTCCATTTTATCTTCATTTTTGTTAAGTTTCACTGACCCTTCTGATCACCAACTTTCTTTGTGGTTCCCTGTAAAGATCGCTCTCCAAGAACAAAAAAGAAACCTCGGAGCTTTGATAGAGACTCTGGATGAAATTAAGAACTTCAAACCCCAGATTTTTGAAAAGAAAAACAGATGTCCTGTTTGTTGAGTATAAATAACTCCGTACGTGAAAACCTTTTCTTTTTTTTTTTTTCTTTTTTTACGCTGCATTAAATTTTATTTAATGCTGGGTGTATTTAAACTGTACCAAAAAAAAAAAAAAAAAAAAAAAAGAGGGAAGGGGGAGCAGGAAAATCTGCGGGTGCCAAAACCTCTAAATCTCCTTTCTCGAAAGGGAAGAGTCAAAGAAAGCCTTCACGTAGATTAAGCGCCCTGCTCCTCAGCGTGTGCCACAACCAACCCCCCTCTCCAGTCGTCGAGGCTCGGGGCCGGAGGCCGCGGCAGGTGCCCACCCCGCCCTGCCGAGCGCATCCCGCGGAGAGAACTTACGTAAGGACGTAGTTGACGCTGACGATGCAGTGCGGGCGCGAAGAGCGGCTGTTGTGCACGATGGTGGCGTAGCTCTGTACCCACACCCAGCCGCCGTGCTTGGCCAGAAAGCGGTAGTACTTGGTGGTCACCTGGCCCTTCACCAGCACTGCGGGACAGAGCGGGGACAGAAGGGCTCAGGGGGGCTGCGGAGCATCAAGCGCGGCAAAGGGATGAGGAAAGGGTAGCCTCGGGCATCCCCTCCCCCTTCGCTATCGCAAAGGCTTTTCGGGGAGATCGAGGACAAACACAACGGGAAGGCCGGGGGGGGGAAGGGGGGGAAGGGGGGGAGTGATCACAACACCCAACCATATCGTCATCGAGATTGAATTCTCTCAATGTGGCTTTGGGTTTTTATCTCGTCTCTTGACGTCCACCTTAAGGAAACTTACCGGAAATTAATATCCTTTTTATACATCTATCCATGTATTAATGTCATCGTGATATCGAAATAGAGTAGAGGGCTGCTCTCTGAAGCAGGCTCACCGCTGCAGCAAATTTAGCCACGCAGATATAATTTGTGAGACTCGATAGAAGTGTTTGAACTGGCACAGCCTTTTCGGAGCAAGGAAAAAGGCTGTTCCCTGAGCTGGATTCGAAGCGAACTGAGACCCAGGGTTTGCACAGAGGTTTGCACCCGCCACCGGTGCTGCCCATTCTTCCCCCAGCCCAGAGGTGGACACTAACACAGTCAAAGCCCTTTGGGGGAGGGAGAAGGCAAGGTGAGGTTTTCTGAGCGCAGATCCTTACACAAGTGATGTGCACATCGCAGGTGGAAGGTGTCACAGCCGTGTACGTGATGGTAAAGGGTCTTCTCGATCAGATCCTGGGGCTCGTAGCCGGTGAGCTCAGCCACCCTGCAAGGACAGAGGAGCCTGCGTCAGTTGGGAGGGGCCGGAGCGGGGGAGGGGGTGAGGAATCGATTTGGAAGCAGCCTCAGCACTACCTGGAGTCTAGGAAGATGAGCTTCATGTCCAGGCTAGCCCGGAACATGAACATGTTGCTGTGCAGTTTGATCTCTGTCACGGCGCTGGGCGGCAGCGAGTGGCCCACGGCGACCAAACCGACGTTTTGATAGCAGCCATCGAAAGGTGACATGTCCAGGCTGTACTGGCGGATCTTCAGGTAGCCACTGCAGTGAATGACCTGCAAGGACACACGGCTGCTGGGAGTGGGGGCTGTGAACTTCGCCGCCCCGGGGCCCCACCCCCCCCTACCCACACTCCGGTCTTTCTCTTTTCTCTTGGGTTGGGATGTGGGCTTTTTTTTTTTTTTTTTTTTTTTTTTTCATACAGAACTTCAACAACTCTCATCTCAAGCCCGTTAAAGTCAACAAGATTTCTTTTTTTTCTTTTTCTTTTTCTTTTTCTTTTTTTTTTTCACTGACTTAAGTGGTTTTTGGACCACCTCCTAACTACGCTTTTATGATTCTTCTCCAAAGGGAAGACGAGGAAGTGCCAAGGCAGTTACAGCTCTGTAATGAAGAGTGGATGCGTGTGAGAGAGTTTACATGTGTGCGTGTGTCACATGGATAAGATGTATCTATTACACAGACAGAGCAGACACGATCCAGAATGCATCTTTAGGCATAGATTTTAGGTACGTTTCCTCCCTGCATATTGCTGCTATGCACTTCCAACCTCAGTTGTCTATTTTAAGCTTCTCTTCCTGGAGCTATTCCAACAGATTTCCTTTTTCTTGCGCTACACCGTGTCACAACGTCTCCCGCTTCAAGGTCGAGGAACAGACTGGACTATGCCCGGCCGGGAGCCTCGTGCGGAGCAATGGGAAACGGCCGAGCCCTAGCTGAATGGCTGCTCCTGTGGCAAGCGGCACTCAGTGCCACATTAAAGAGTGCCGAGCCGGGCCAGCCCAGGGAGCTCAATCCACATCCACCCCGCGGTGTCGTGGCGGGGCTGTACCCCCCCACACCCACCTTGTAGCCCCCGCAGGTCAGCCCCGCGTTCCTCTTGGCCAGTACGCATTTCATCCGCAGGAAAAAGGACCTCTCGATCTCATACTCTGAGGAGAGGGAAGGCAGAGGGGAGGTGAGCGGCGAGGGAAAGAGTCCAGGTCCACGTGGGACGATGCGATGTAGGGGGGACGCGCTTTACCCTGCACGAAGTGGGAGTGGTAGGGCTGATGGGCCGTAAGCACCGCCGTCATCTCGTCGTGGTCGGCGGGGTGGATGTACTCGTAAATGCTGTTGCCGGTCAGCTCTACCTGTGAGAGAGGAGGAGGAGGATGAAGGGGGGAAGAGCACGAAGGAGAGCGTTAGTCACCGGTGCCCTCTCCGCAGACGCCTCCCGCGCCGGCCCCCAGCCTACCTGAGACAGACCCAGGTGCACCGAGGCTGTCTCCGAGATGTACATGATCTTCCCATCCGGAGCCACCACGAATATGAAACCGTCCAGCGTCTGGGGAAAGGGTCGGCAGAGGGAGCAACAGATAGAGAGATGGACACAGACAGACCGACACATAGAGTACCGTCCTCCAAGGGGCTATTCTAAGTCAAGACGTATTCCCTTTCATGCTGTGATTATTCAGAAAGCTGGAAGGAAACGGAGCCCTGGGCAGGACTCTTCTATAGCCGTGATCCCTCAGGATTCCCGCTGATGACCACTCGAGAATTTTCGAGCGCTGCCACCCCGTTTCTAACTCCCCGGGATTTAAGCCCCTGTTAAGCAAACGAAGGGAGTGTAAGCCTCCCCGCAGAGTGAATAACGTCTGTGTGGGACGGGATGATTTGTCAAGTGCGTTTCAGAAGACGGAAATGGGGCTTCTGGGTGCGGAGGCAGCAGAAGAGACCCCCAATCTGTTAAAGACGTGTCACAGCCCATACGATCCCACACACACAAAGCATGGATACAGTAATTCCAATATTCCTTCCTCTACCTGAACTGCGTTTGTGCAAAAGAGTCCATCCCGTCCCTCCCCTCCCACTTTTTTTTTTTTTTTTTTTTTAATTAAACACGTGAACGGTTAAAAATCAGTCACGGAGGCAACTAAAAGCTCAGAAGAGGGACTGGTTTCTTTAATCGTTAATACCGCGTAGCTGTCGTTCCCAGAGTGGTACCTGCAAAAGATGCGATCCCAGCTCCCTTCCGACGTTATCCAGCGGGCTAGTGCGGCTGGAGTGGCCCCAAGCTTCTCCCAGTCCTGTTCAGTTAAGACACACACAGAAAGAAAAGTGAAGAGCTGACAAACCCAATCCTGTTGGCCTGCTGGAGAAAACCTCTTCTACTTATTTGTTTTTTATTATTATACTTTCGCTTGAACTCGCGTTAAAACAGGTATACATATAATCGTTGAGAAAAGGGGATGTGATTTCCTCGTACGGGAAAGCCTCTTTGGTGGATTTTTTATTATTTAAATCTAACTCCTGTGGGAGATAAACACCTTTTTTTTGGTTAACGGGGAAGTTGGTTTCTGAGACCTGGGCGAAACGGTGTGCCCGACAAAGCTGCCCCTCGGGGCGGCCTTTGGCTGCGTGGAGCGCGTAAGAGAGCGCCCAGGGGCGTGTGCTGCCTCCCAGAACCCCCTCCTCCCCTCGGCCTTGGGACGGACCTGCCCTGTGCTTCAGACTCTGCTCGTTTTATGCAAAGTGAGGATGAATAAGAGCTGCAGGAAAATTACTCGGCCGGAGTAAATCTTTTTATAGGCAGTGCTTTTTAACGATGCTGTTGCCGAAATCATTTTGAAAGGGGCATTTTAAGCTTACGCGACTAAATAAGGATCAAACAAGAAGGAAAAACAAACAAACAAACAAAAAAAACCCACAAACGTACAGAAATGCTGATTGACGGCAGGAGAAGGCAAGGTCTGCTCCTACAGCGCGGACTCGGGAAGCCGAGCCCACTTTCTCTGGGGATTTCCACACGAAGCGGCAGCGGGCAGAGCGGGCATCCCTTGGTATCGAGCGCCCTCACCTCGGCTCGACACCCGGGCGTGGCGAACAGAGAGGGCATCCTGAGCTGCCCCTTCCTCACCCGCCTTCTCACCGTTTCCCCCTTCTTCTTAACCCACTGCCCTCAGAAGTCAGCAGCATCCCTGCGCCCCGGCCCCTGCCCGCGTGTACCCCTCGCCGAGTGTCAGCGGGAGATAAGATCCTGCCCGTTAACTTCTCCGCGCCAATTAACGGGGACACGGTGAAGTTGTCCCCAACCCCCGGGCTCTCCTCCCTCCCCCGAAGTGCAGTCGCTCTGTCACCCTCCCCAGCGGGGCTGCCCGGGGGCACATCTGTCCCCCACCGGGGACCCCCACCGAAGCCAGTCAGGAGCTGACACTTCTCGCACGGCTTCCAGGGAAAGGGAGAAGAGAAACCGCAGTATTTTTGCTTTCCCCGAGCTCCGGGACGCCCTGTCGAAGCCGCTCCTTGCGAGCTTCCCGCACTGGAAGGGAAATCTGAATAACAGTTTCCCTGTTCTGGACTAAAGCTGCGCTCTTCGCCTAGGATTTAAGTTGTTTATTAATCTGGGTTTACGGCTTCTAATTACTCTCCTTCTAAAAGGGAAAACAACCCGACCTCTGCGGGTTAATGAATAGCTCATCAACATTACAGGTTAACTTCTTTCGGGAACGCCGTTCTTCACGGAGCACTGAGCCCTTCGTTATGCTTCGGGTGGAAATCTCACGCTGTTTGGCCGCGGCTGTTAATGTTTCATAATTAAACGTTTTCACTCGTCTACATGAGCCAGCTTCTGGCTATCCTAACACTGAAGACACTTCGCATTGCCCAGATGCTTCAGCACTTTCTAGCCGGAGACGAATTCTCTTCACTGACAAACCCAGATCGGCGGGCTCTCCCGACGCCGTTTAAATACTGCCTTTAGAGATTATAAGATAAAACCTCTCCATTAATATTCCCCTTTTATTATTTTTTTCCCCTCCGTTCGCTTTAACATCCAATTTCCTTTTATCGGGGGAGCAAACTGAGCTATCTTGCACTTGACCTACCGCAGAAAATTCCTCAAATCCTTTGATTGTCTATTTAAAACAAAACAAGGAAATCAGCTCTCCCTTTTGCTTCAGGATTACGCTGGAAACAAGATCTAAAGATTCTCTTGTAATTTGGAGAGCCAACGGAATAATGGCTTTGGAATAGAAACAAGCAGCTTTGTGCGGGAAAGGATAACTAAACCGTTTTTAGGCAAAGGATTTTCCCAGCTAAAGTGGCCGAAGACAAAGCAAAACATAATCTATTTTGGAAGATTTCCAAGATATGCCACATTAACCTTTGTAGATAAAAATTGCTTTCTCCCCTCCCCCGCCGGGGTCCGGTTTATCATATTTACATAAGTAGCCTTAGAAGCGATGTATCTATTATGGATCTAAGGAGCTCGCGAGCTCACATTTCATGTGGAAACAGAGGCGAAGTTTTACTGTTGCTTAATACTTGATGCATTGTCGAACCATTTCCATTTAAATACTCCAGACCCACGGATTACCTCAATGGACTGGCTGCATGGGCTTTGTAATTTCCTGAAAATGAGATTTCGATTTATAAAACAAGAAACCAATTAGTAACCAAATGAGGCGAAGTAGATCCACTAAAATTGACCTAATCCCACAGGCACCATTTAGGCCGGTTCTTAGCGAATGAATGATGAGCAATCGTGCAGCGCAAGCTCAAGGCATCATCCAGCTGTGTTATTGCAAGAAGCAAAAATAAATGGATCGAGCTTTTCTTTCGGAATGAGTTTTATACTCTCAACAAGATATAGATTATAGGCTCCCATCTAACAACCTCCTCCACTCGAGGATTTTTTTTTTTTTCCTGAGAAGGTAAACAATTCGACCTAGAAGATGTCCTCCATTGGGGGGTGGGAGGAGGGAGAAAGAAAGGAAGAAAGGAAAATAAATAAATGACAAAACAAAATAGCAGCGGCGTTAGGGACAGGCTTTGCTCAGTTTGCTAACAACGCCCGTTACTGAACTGCGCACTCTGAGGCTGCGCTTGAGCGCGCTGCGCTGAACGTGCGCTGGTGCAGTTCGGTCTGCGAGTGCTGAGTCATAGCTTTTCCAGTACTTCTCGACGGGAAATCACCGTTTGCCCACATTTAAAAGTGAGGGAAGTGGCAGAAATCTCCTCGTTCTCTTTGGTGGGAGGACAGCATCGGGGCAGTCCGGTGGAAGCGCCTTCCTTCCCCCGTGCGCATCCCGCCCAGCGCAGGGCACGCCGCCCTCCACGGACGGACCCACGGCCAACGCCGCAGCTCCGTGCCGCGGGAGCATTGCCTCCCCGCCCCGCTGGGTAGCTCCGAGCCCTCATGGCAGCAGCCAATGGAGGCACCGGCTGGCATCGCGATATCGTTGCCGAACTCCCCTAAGTCCTAAACAAACGGGGCTGCGCTCAATCACTGCAAATTGGGCCGGGACGAAGTGGCAGAAGGCTCCGAGAGGCGCGGACAGCCCCGCGGGTCTCGGGGTTCCCAGTCCCTCCGTGAGCATCCGCAACGCAGCCCCGACCCCAACCTCGACAGTCTTCTTTGTCTGTCCGTAGCGGGGGGAGTGAAGGGGGGCGAGAAGGGGGGTAGGGGAGGAGGACAGGAGAAGCGAGCTCTTATCTTCTTGGCGTTGATTTGCCAGCGTTTCCAAGTGGCTACCACCATTACCCCAACCTCAGCGCGATCCGAATTCACAGTGGAGGAAACAACGGCAGGGCCATCGGCGCCCCCCCTTCCAAAAGCACTCGGCATGGAACCCAACTCAAACCTCCCACAGGGGGATCAGGGCTTCTGGGGGCCCCTGGGAGGCCGCCTGAGGCAGCGGGGAGACCTCGGAGCACCCCGGCCGAGCGCACTCCCTCGGCTTTTGTCACAGCCTCCCTGCAAAGGCAGAGGGGCAGCGAGGTTGCCTCGAGGAACGGTGTCGTTCAGCAGCACTCGCTATGCCACCTCCCAGCACCCAGCCGGGCCGATTTCTCACTTAATTTAACAGGAGGTGGTTAATGATAATTCCAAATCTCTGCCAAATGAGGCTTCTGTGTGGGAGCGAGTCGCCGTCGGAGGGTTCAGATGGAACAGAAGCAGCAACATTTAGGGAGAAGAAGAAAAAAAAAAAAAAAAAAAAAAAAAAAGCTGCTCATGCCTGCGGATGCCATTAGCGAGGTTTCGTCAAGATTTATTATCTCGGTAAATCAGATGCGTTCGTTTGAAGCGGATAGAAGCGAGCGCCCTGCTTCCTTTAGAAAAATAATAGTAAGAGGGAGGCAGAGTTCTGCCGCCTGAACAGACGGCCCTGCTGGGGGAGCGGCCGTGGAAGTAGCACCGATTCACCGCACTGGAGAGAACTCGCAGCGTTTGGGTAATGGAGCTGCCCTCCTAAATGCAAACAAAACGGAGCCCACACCGGAGGAGGGGGAAGACCAAAAAAAAAAAAAAAAAAAAAAAAAAGAGGCAAATTTTCGAGCGCAACATCCATACTTCTGGGTTTTAGAGAAGACGCAAACGCAAATATCGCTTTACCCGAACGAACAGTGGAGGAAAGGGTAGGTTTACGCTATTCACACACAAGTTGAAAACGTCCTTCAGCACTAACAGAGGGAGAGGGGTTTGTAAGGAAAATCTGACTGTATCCACCCGTTAAAGTGCCTTTGTCAGCTCTCGTGCTGAGAGTTCAGTTCTGCACTTCACATGTTAAGTTCACATCAAAACCCGACTTAAGCACAGAGAGGTACCGCGCAGAGTAAACTGCGGCTTAAATGAGAAAAACTTCTGTACGAAATCACCGCTGAAACCCAATGCTCAATCATTTCCCTTAGCAGCAAGAAAAACAGCATTAAATCACCTATCCACGTGGGAAATGGATTTTGTTTTCCTGCTTTTCTCCCCCCCGCACTCCCCCCCATAAAATAAAACAAGATAAGGAGATTCAATATTGAAATGTTAGGCAAAAGTTCATGTAAACGCGGACGCTGATTTTGTCTGGGAAAGCGAACGCCTCTGCGTGGGAGCGATCCGTCTTCACAGGACAGAAAAGCAAACAGTCCTTCCCTGCTTGTTCGGGTGAGGGGAACAGGACCCTGGAAATATTCCTTAATTAAATATATGGGGTTTTTTGTTTTTGTTTTTGTTTTTTGTTTGTTTGTTTGTTTTTCCGCCTTCACTTTTGGACACCGGGGCTGCTTATAGGAATTGTATCCTTAGGTAACGAAATTATTTTCGCCCCCGGATTTATTTCTATCAGGTTTTGATGCTACGTTAGTTGCCTTCACTGTTACACTGAAATGTCAGTTTTTTTTCCCCCATGAACGTTAACACAGGACTGAATTCATCAGGAAGGTATTTATCTTTTTCTCTTTCTGTCTTTCTTTTCTTTTCCCCTTCAATAAAAATAATTTTTAAAGCTCTTTACACTGTTCACAGCTATCTAGCAGATCTTCTCCACATTATCTTCCCCAAAGCCGACCCCATGCAAAACAGGCTCTCTCTTCCCGAGCCAGAGGAGTTTCAGCAGCCGGCCCATGCCAGGCGGCAGCCGCGGGGCGCATTTCGTCTTTGCCAGTTTTCCCGAGAGGTTTGGGGCAGGGCAACGGGGTGCTGGGCCAGAGTCAAGTCCTGCACTCCTTCGAGAGACTCGCAAAGCTGCAGCTGAATCTCCGCACTACACTCCCTCAGAGCCGCGCTCATCCGGTGCCACCGCTTTGCATCGCATTTTCAGACAGTGAAACGGAAACCAAACGGCGCTGAGCGGCTGCGTGGCTCTGCTGGCACGGCCCTGGCAGAAACCTCCTGTTTTCATAGTGAACCTGGCATCCAACCTCCTGCATATGAGCCTCTCAGTGTCCAAACGCGCAGACTGAAGCCCACCGATGCTTCCTCCGCTGAGGAGCTTACATCGTTCTGTGCATTTATTCCCACCGTTTCCAGTCAGGCCCCGTGCAGGGAAGCTCCGGGCGGGCCGCCGGGGAACCGCACCGCTCGGCCGAACCTACGCTTCTCCGCTCTCGGCCGGATCCGGGCTGCGCCCCAGCTCTCGCAGCTCTGCCCTCCCCGGGAAAAAACACAGAACGTCCCCTGCCGTATCTACCGCCTTCCGCAGGTTCTGGCTGTCTCTGCGTGCCCAGAGCAAACGGGGAGGGAGGGCCTCCCACATACTGGCAAGTGCCTGCGGAACCACTCCGACCCCCCAGCACGGACAGCACCGCGGGGCCACCCCCTCGGCGGCGGCTTCTTTCCATTCGCAGCTCCCCCGTAGCGAGGCCGCGGAGGTCCCGCCGCCACTCTCCGCCTCCCTGCTCAAAGCCGCAGCTGCCGGCCCCGGCCCCGCGCCCCCCGTCGCACGGCTCCCCGGGGCATTGAGGCATCCCGCGCTGTCGCCCGGGACGGGGCCCGGCCATTCTTCTCCGCCCGTGATTACTCGCAGCCTACAAGCAACACCATATGCTTCGTCTGATCAAACAGCCCCGCTGCATCGGCGGCGGTAATTGACGAGAGCCTCTCGGAATCACGCAGGAAGGCAGCCCGCTGAGACGGCGGGAGCCGCTAATAATCCTTTTAGGAACATCGCGGGCAGCGGAGTTGGCCATAGCTTTCTTTTTATAAAGTGTGCGCTGACAGTATTAAAGGACAGCTCAGTTTCCTTGCAGATAGATAGCATAGAATGGCAACGTGGTTTCACGAGAATTTTAACTTTTTCTTCCACTTCCCCCCACCCCCCCCTTTTTTTTTTTTTTTTTAAAAAAAAAAAAAAAAAAGGTTTCAGGTGTTACAACTCCCTCTTATCCCATTCTTTGGTTCTAAGTTACTCAGAGATACCAAACGTTGCTTAAAGAAGCGGCTACAAGATACGCTACGTTGGAAATGACTGCTATGGCTTTGGCTCTATGTACTCACGCAGCGCTGAGGGGGAGGGGGGGAGGCCCGCCTCCAGGTCCGAGCGAATATTTACCTTTAAAAAGTCGAGTTAAGACCGCTCCTTCCCGGTCTGAATCAGGTTAAAAGCAAAACAAACAAACAGAACAAACCAGGACAGTCCCCGTACCCGCTCTGGGTTCATGAAGCATTACCGACAGACCCGAAGTAAACGCAAGGTCTGTATTACGGGGTTTCTTACGTATCCACACATTTCAACGAATGATTAATTTTGATTTTTAGATAAATCATTAAAAAAAAAAAAAAATTCTGCCCATCAGTCTTCTCTCTCACTACCGTCTCTTCCAGGCAGAAAACATCTCAATCTAAATAAAAGCTTCGAGAATCGTTTTGATTTTTTTCTTTCCCCTGCATCTCACAGAAGCGACAGACGGAGAGCAGAGCAGAACTTCATCCCGGTCCCTTAACAAGCTCTCTACTCTCTCTGGAGCCCCTCCAGGCACCCCAAGAGGCGGCTCAGCGCCACCAGGAAGAGCTGGAACTGAGGACGTGACGGCCGGCTCTGCCCAGCGAGAGTCAAAAATGAAGCTCGCTGCAGGCCCTCTGTTCGCATCGTTCTGGGGCTTGGACGCGTCCGAATATAATCATTCTGTGAAAAATTCCCGAGGTCGATTAACGCTCTCAGACGGCCTCAGCGATCCACAGATCGGGATATAGTGGGTTTACGATGCGATACGTTATGCTTAGCTTATCAGTTGTGGGAGCGCACCCTATACCTGCACACCGCACCTAAGGCTTTAGGACTTTGCATAGGCTTATGTAAATATTTACCCATATATTAGCTCCCTCACGTACAGCTATAAATGGGGGGATCGCCCCCATTTGCCTTGCGGCGATGCCCGCCGCATGGACGAGAACAGAAAACCTCCTGCTGGCTCTGCGTTGACAGAAGCCCCTCAGCCCCCAGCAGAACTGTCATATGAACGGAGCGACAACATTCACGGGAGGGAGAAGTAGCAGCAGAAAGTACTCGGCCCCCAGAGTTCGGCCCAAGCAGCACCTGGATGGGAAGGGGAGCACAGGGGAGAGCCATCCCACCTACCTTCTGGGAAAACCACCCGCATCTTGAGGTAGCTGGTGGTGAGCCTGATTATGGATGCTTTGTCCAGCTGAGAGGTGATGGCCGAGGGCAGGGGCAGTAATTTAGCCAGTTCATAAAATTCGCTGTTTTCTTTCTCCCGTCTAGTCCGGGCAGCATTTTTGGACTTCTCTTTCATCGTGTTTTTTTCCCCCTTCCTTCCTAAAATTTAAGCTCCGGAGCTTCATCCAAAGGTGGGAGGGGAGCGCTCAGTTGCAGTTCATGTCCCGGATCATCGGGAGGGAGAACAGCTGCCGCCCAGAGAAACCGTTCAGTGAAATGGAACAAAGTGCCGAAGAGCAGAGTGGTGTTCTTCAAAAGAACGAATATTCTCTGAAAAGTCACTCGGGGGGGGAAAGGCATTTATCCAGTGCAGCTCAGAGACTCAAGCAACTGCAGGAAAAAAAAAAAAAAAAAAAAAGAAAAAAAAACAAAACACAACAGAACTACAAGCCCGTGGCACGACGCAGCAGCCAAACGAGGTGTTTGGGGCCTCTGTTCCTGCTCATCGCGGACAGTGCCTCTCCTCGAAGTGGGTCATGGTAATCCCGATCCTCCCGCAATCGGCTGCCGGAACGGGGCCTCCGCGGGCGGCTTCGTAGGAGCCTCTGCGGGAAGAAGAGCGGTGGTGGTGGGTGAGCAAGTCGCTACTCAGCGCCGCGGCCTCCAGAAATCATCATCATAATTTTTAAAACCTAGCCCAGGTGCCCTTTTCTGCTTGAGTTGTTTGTTTATTTTTTATTTATTTATTTATTTTGTCCTGCTTGTTGCATTAATCCCGCTGCCCCCGTGAGCCAGGACTCACTGCCGATCGCAGCCCTGCACAGCAGTTACTTCGTGCGTTTTTCCAGCCAATTTTGGGGTTTTGCCGCTGTTTCCTCCCACCCTCTGCGGGAGCACCCAACCTCACTTCGCACCTCTTTGCGCTCCCCCCCCCCTCCCGCCGAGGCCGGGCCC